AGTCTGTTGAAGTCTGTACCTCACGTAATCTTAGTTCTTAGTAATGTCTTATATTCTTCATAAATCAGTCATAGAAACAGAATGCTAGAAATGGAGGAAAACACAGTTCATTGGATCCAACTCTTCTTTTTAAGATGATGGGGCTGAGATGTAAGGTATGAGTAAAAATTTTGCTCAAAATCCCACATCATACCAATAGCAGATCTAGGACCAGAATTTGGGATTCCTTTCTCTTAGGCCAAAGGTCTTTCCCCTGTATCACTTCATGGGTTGTAATGTTTTTTCTCTAGTACTAATGTTCTTGGAAGAAGAGATCGTGTCTTTTACTTCTTTGTAATTTGAAAGAACTCATCTAGCAGATCAAGCTACAATGTATAGCAACAAGTAAAGCTTTGCTCCAGGAGCGCCAATAGATGATGAACCATTAATGAATTGGTAGTATCTATCTATATTTCAGTGTTGAGAAGGATTCAGAGGCTACATCTAAACTTAGTAGGAAAGTGACATCAGCCATGGGTTTGGAGGAGGGAATGCAATCCATATGTCAGATATGTGTTTTTTCCTCTGTGCAATAATCAGTCCTCTTCGATTACATGAACCCTTGGGAAGGATGTACATGGAGGAGAGGAGAATATAGAGACCTACCCAGTAGCCAGAACAGAGGAATCAACCCTAGCTACCAACGTGGTAACATATGCTCCTGCCGGATTGTCTCACTGTTAGCTTCTCTGTAACCCCTAGCTATAGCATGTAGTAGGTGCTCAATAAGGACTTACTAACTGATTGAAATTAGGAGATAAACAACTATTTTCACAACGGAACTGTCCCATTCTTCTCTGGAAACCCTGTGTTTCCAGAATATTGTATTGAATGTTGTATTAAATATTTCTGAGAATATTGTAAGCTGATGACTCTACTACATAAGTATGGTGTCTTCTATATTCTTTGAACTGCCTCTCAAAGTTGCCCAGATGGCATGAAAGAAAAAGAGAGATTCAGAAAACTCGCCTTTAACGTGCGGGATTTTATGAGTCAAATTGCGGGGAAAATCTGAGTCCGTGTGGACTTCCATTCGGTATGTCATTCTTCTTCCGTAGGCTCAGCTTGCATGATGTCAGGAGTTCCAGGAGCCAGAGCAGCGTGGGGGCCTGGATCCAATACTGACTCAGACTCGGGGGGAGAAATCGACACTGAAGCCTGGATGAGACAATTTGGTTGTGAGTGCTAGGGATATGACTGCTGACCACAGAGGAAAAAGGGCAACCGAGGTGCAAGTTTTGTCTCCCCGACTACCTACTCAGTCAAGACTGAGGATAGCATGAGATATGATCGAAAAATCTTGCTGACGTTTAATGCATAACCATAGCCAGTTTTCAGAAAGAAAGTCTAGCTGAAAAGAAAAGAAAGTTTTCAGCCCCTTTATTTTAGTAATATGGTCACACTTTGGCTCCTGGTGGGTTTGCAAAACTTTTAAAGGATATCTTGGTGGTGAATTATTCTGCAGTCTCAGTGTTGGCTGAACCAGCGAAGTGTGAAACCTCTAGTTTGCATGTGCAACATAAGGTGTTTTACAGGCAGAAAAGAGAGAGAAACGTCTTCTTTGGTAAAGTTGACAAGACAGGAAAAGACATAAAAGGATATACTATTGTAATGACAACATTCTGAACCAAAGAATCATATGTTGAAAAATGAAAATCTAGTAGCATGTGGTTCACTTCTAGCCTGGATGCAGGATCAGTTGCGTGATTTGCAAGAAACAGTGCAAAATGAAAATTGGGGCCCTTTGTTAAAAATTATTAAAAATTTCAAGAAGCTAACAGCAACGTGGGCTGTTCCACGTGCAGGGTCTTGATAGACTGCACAGGTCTCACGTCCATGAGTTGGGCCTGCTGGGATGGCTAGCCAAGGGTTTCAAAACTATTATTTGTGGTCTTACTATTTTTTAAGGAATTAAAGAGTGACTATTATCTCACAAATTATACGGAAAAAAAATCCCAGAAACCAAAGCCTGATGGGATGTAATTATTTGAATTCACATATCTAACACAGTTATAGGCACATATGATGATCTTAATGGATATTGATGGATTGGAGGACAGGTAGACTATGGAAAGGTCTTGATTCTAGACTCAGCTCTGCATTGTCCAGTTGAATGAACTTAAGCACAGCACTTTGTTTTTATGCATCTTGATTTAAAAATCTAAAAAAAGAGGGACTAGACCATAGATAATCTCTATAATTCCATAATTCTGTGCTGTGCTTGGTCATGCCATCATGAGTTATTAGGGCTTGTATTTTAGGCGTGTAGTTACTAACCCTGAACATCTGGCCATATTGTAAACATATTCTTAATATGTATCTGTAATTTTGATTAGGCAGTCTCAATTTGCAAATACCCAGACAATATCTAATTCCCAATTATTGATCCCGCAATTCTTAACTCCTCAACCTGAACACCATATTCCACTGGATAAATCAAAGGATGTGCAGAACCAACTTTTACTCCTTTACAGGAGGTTGGGAATACTCCTTCCAGTAACTTGGAGTTTGGTCATTGATTTCCTAGATGATATTGAGGCTTTGCTAAGGTTTTCTTGTCACCGTGTCACCTGAAAGCACATTATCTGGGCCGCATTTTTCCTGTGATAGAGGAGAGCTACGACAGAGCTTTGTGGGCAGCAGCATACTTTCTACACTGTTTGTTTGCTTCACGTGATGCCTTGGTCCCACAGACGTGTTTTGATCTTGTTTATTCTTTGGGAAGATAGCCCCTCAACGAGTTTTCTGGACTTTTTCACACAAGATAATACATGGAATTGTCCCAGTAAGCAAGAGTTGGCTAAAGAGACATAGCGTCAGGTTTCTAACATTAATCACAAATCCTATTTAATTAAAAACTACTTTCCTACAGGTTAGGTCTGATAGCATCAGGATTAGAACTTGAGGGAAAGTAACTCCAAGCAGATCCTTAAGTTAGCATTCAAATTCACATTTATTCAGTGCTGCCTATGGGCGAATCTCCACACCTAAATGTTTGTAGGGAAGAAAAGTGTGTTATAGAAGCAAAGAAACGATTTCTGACTTTAGGGAGCTCTGTCTAACATGGGAGATGACACATGAGTAACTGACTCTCATATGACATCGAGGGATCAGGACTCTAAGAAAAGTATGAACCAAGTGCTAGGCCTGTGTAGAGGGCTTGAGATTAATTTTAAGAAGGATAATTTTGAGGGGCCGGCCCGGTGGCGCAAGCAGTTAAGTGCGCGCGCTCCGCTGTGGCGGCCCGGGGTTTGCCGGTTCGGATTCCGGGCGCGCACCGACGCACTGCTTGGCAAGCCATGCTGTGGTGGCATCCCATATAAAGTGGAGGAAGATGGGCACGGATGTTAGCTCAGGGCCAGTCCTCCTCAGCAAAAAAAAAAAAAGAGGAGGATTGGCAGATGTTAGCAAAGGGCTGATCTCACAAAAAGCAAAAAAAAAAAAAAAAAAAAAAACAACAACAACAAAAAAAGAAGGATAATTTTGGGACAACTTGTATAGAACATGGTTTTTAGGCTTGAATGGATAGGTGCCACCCTGAGGGGCACAGATGAGGGGAAAGGGAACTCAAGGTCAAGGAACAGCAAAAGCAAATGTTCAGGGTGTGTTTTCTTAGGGATGAGTAGTCATCCGATGTGCCTGAATAACAACAGATAACTTTTATGCAGAGCTTACCGCCTGCCAGGCAAAATTCTTAGCACTTTATGTATATCACGTAATTTCATTTTCAACTGAAGCTTGAACTAATATTAGGCCCATTTTAAAGATAAGGAAACTGAGCCACAGCAGAGTTAAGAAGCTTGCTCAAGATCACATAGCTAGATAGTACTGAGGCCAGGATTCAAGTTTGCATTTATAACCACAATACTTTGGTGTATGCACTGCAGGTTGAAACGCAAGCTGGGCTGGAACCAAAGAATGGAGGGCCTTCTGTGCCATCCTGAAGAGTTGTACTTCATAAATAAATTACCAAGGGAGGAGAAAAAAATCCTATTTTTTTGTATTTGAAAGGAAAAGAAATTAAAAAGTTAATAAAAGATTCTCCAATATTACTGATTATTTGGAACAAGTGATCGTCTAGAGCTGTACTGTTCAATATGGTCGCCTCTAGCCTTGTGTGGCTATTGAGCATTTGAAATATGACTAGTTCAAATTGAGATGTGCTGTAGGTATAAAATGCACACCGAATTTCTAGGATTTAGTATGAGGCGAAGGTTGTAAAATATCTTAATAATTTTGTGTATTGATACATATTGAAATAATATTTTAGATATATTGGTTTAAATACAATATAATTTAAAAATTATTTTTACTTGTTTCTTCTTAGTTTTATTAACGGGACTGCTAGAAAATTTAAATTCATCTATTTGACTTACATTATATTTCTACTGGACAGTGTTGGTCCGGAGCAACTAAATATTGTGGTAGATCTTTTACTAACCAACTTTGATGAAGAACTTCCTCACCACATTGGTCTTTTAACCACATTCTTTCCTTGCTTTCTGGTCATTGGCAAGAAAATTTTTCAAAGGTATCCCCCTCGTAAAGATTTGAGAGCCCCTAGAATTTCCTTTTTCACTTGCTCACGACCACAAAGAAATGATCAATGTGCTCTGTGGATGAGGAGTCAACATTTTACAAGGAAAGGGAGGAGGTGCAGAAAAATTTCCAATCCCTGAATGGTGTGAAGTAAAAGTGCTTTCAAAGATCCCACAAGAACGGTGCGGGTGGGCACAATGGGTCTGTCTCATCGTCAAAAGACCCAAGGAGTTGAAAGGAAACTCTAGCTACAACACCAAAATGCCACAAAACCATAGTTATTAATACAAACTAACTAGCATCTCTGCCTATCTGTCACCATCTCATCTCAAAAAACTTGTGAAAATACGTAATCCTGATGAGACTTCAATTGGGTATAAATACCAGCAGCAGACGGAGATGCAGTACATTCTTCTGATCGTCGGCAGATCAGCTATTAGAAAAGAAAGATCAGCTAAGTCCTTGGGACCTGATCAGCTTAAGACAGGAGCTACTGATTTCAACTGCTTTGGCCTAACTCTCTCCGAAACAATGAATTATACAAGTTTTATCTTAGCTTTTCAGCTTTGCGTGATTTTGGGTTCTCCCAGCTATTACTGCCAGGCTGTGTTTTTTAAAGAAATAGAAAACCTTAAGGAATATTTTGTAAGTATGACCTTTTAATAATACTTGCTTGTGGTTGAAACGCCTGAACGTTGACTTGGAGTTGTCTCTATGATAGGCTGTCGTCTCTGGGCCACAGTCATCTCGAGAAGACTAGGTGTTATTTTGACTGTTGACTGGATGAGTTTTTTTTTTACTAAATGATCTAGCTATTGCTTTAACCCTCTGCTCAATTTCCTATAGAGACTTAGAGAGGATTCATGAGTCTTCCAAAAGATGGGCATAATATGTTTATAAAGCATAGTGATATTGATAATTTTGTGGCGAGAAGCCATTCAATTGTGATAAGTCAAGTAGTGTGCATATTGAAAAAATGACTAGCTATTGGTTTCTGATTTCTCAGGCTACTATGAAGGTGACAGTAAAAGGTCAAGATTAGCATTACATTGGTAACTTGAAATAATTGATCAATTAGAGAAGGTGAGGTCCTGAAAGGTTTGGCTTAAAAAAATCAGTTACAGATATTTTCCTCCAAAAAGTGATTTTACAATTCTACTGCCCCATCTATGTTCTCTGTGAATTACTGTTGAACTCAGTCACTCGCTGAGATTTTATAAGAGTTATAATCTCGTATATATTAAAAATTGTTTTTTGTTTTGTTTTATGAGCTTCTTTTAAAATGTTATTTATGGTTAATTAAAATAGTTTTTTCATTTTAAATATTTTATTATATGCCCAAAATTTAGCTATCATAATGATAGTTGGAACTATCTTTTAAAGTTGACGTAACACCGCAGGGGAGGGCACTGGTGGATGCTGTGGAGACCTGTACCATAGGGGGCAGTATTTTATAGTGGGTTGCCTTTGCTGATTTGTTTACTAGCCTTGAAAATACTTTCTTTTCCTTACTATAGTTAATTGGGACAATTGAAGTATCATCAGCCTTGTTGAGTTCATGTAAAATCTTGTAATTTAAAGGTTATACTAGAAAATAAGAAAGCTGAAATAGCATGATAGTCTTTGGCTATATCCAACACAACGGCTTTTGGGAATACTTATTGTTAGAAATAAACAGAGGGTTGCAAAGAAAATCAGTGAATATTGTCAGCATCTGAGTTCAATAAAACTTGAAGTACATTTTTAGGGGCAATTTATGGGCTCATTGTAAACAGATTTTTCCTTCTTTTTTCAGAATGCAAGCAATCCAGACGTAGCGGATGGTGGATCTCTTTTCCTAGATATCTTGAAGAACTGGAAAGAGGTAAGCTGAATATTTCCATTTGGCTGATTTTCCTCTTGCTTATTTTCTGGTGGATGAATTCACAACAACCTCTCTTTGTGCTCTTTTTTCCCAAGGAGAGTGACAAAAAAATAATTCAGAGCCAGATCGTCTCCTTCTACTTCAAACTCTTTGAAAATTTAAAAGATAACCAGGTCATTCAAAAGAGCATGGATATCATCAAGGAAGACCTGTTTGTTAAGTTCTTCAACAGCAGCACCAGCAAACTGGATGACTTCAAAAAGCTGATTCAGATTCCGGTGAGGAGATCTTGATTCTCTCTGGTTTCATTACAGAGGCTCTTACAAAGTCCTTAATTCCCAGAAAGTAGAAATTAGCTATGAAGTGAACCCGTGGCCCAAACTCCTCCTTACTAGTTCCGTCTGTGCTTTGGATGACTTTGCCAAGTCAGTATGGAAATCATTTAAATTTGTGATTTGGGGAAATACTGGCCTTATGACTATTGCACAAAGGCAGGTGAAGGGACAAATCCAGGGGCAGGGGAGTAGTGAAGAAGTCGAGGGGAGTGTGGAGGAGCAGGTCTCTCAGTGCCCTTTGTTTATGAGGTGAAATCCTCTGGCTTTTGATGGGAGGCTACATGTCTTGATGGAAAAAGCAGTGGGAGGGGGGAGAAGAATTGTGTTCCTCCCAGCTCAGCCACCAAGGACTGTGTAACCTCAGATGAATCACAGGCCTGGTTAGGGCTCAGTTTCCTCATCTTAAAAGGAGCCTATTGGGCTCACTACAACTTCCATGATCTCCTTTGCCCTAAAATTCTACAATTCCATAGACAGAAAATGAAAATGAGGTAGGAGAAAGGAACAGCCTTTGAAGAGGCTCTGGGGCGTCCCACTGCCAGGCTCTGTCAACCTTCATACTGTGCAGCCAAGTAGAGGCCAGAGTGTGTGTTTGTTTTCAGAAAAGAAAACAGGTAGAATCTATACCTTATGAAAGAACTGTTCTATCGACTTTTGGATGCTAGAATATCTCAGCTGGAGAAATCCTTAGACTGCCAAGCTTTTTCTCATGAAATTGTCTTGAGTCTTTAAAGTTATGGCTTCTAGAAGCTGAAAGACAGCTTTGAAGCATGAAGACAGATTATATTTTCCAACGTTTTGTCTGAGAGACAAAGGCCTCCAGATTCCTCTGGGTTTGGCTTTGATATAAATAGCCTTGAATGAGGGGGGAGGATCTTGTTATGTCTCCTTGTTTAGAAGAGAAAACAGAGGTTTGGAGAGGTTAAGTGACTGGTTCAAAGTCAGAGTTATTGCACACACATGATTCAAACCCACATTTTTTTGCCACTCCACTTTAGTGTTCTTTACGCTATACAATTTTGAGAATTCTGTAGCAGTAAATTTAAGGACATGTGATGTGCACCATGCTATTACAGCAAAACTAACAATTTAATTATAATTTCAGTCTTAACTACTGGAGAAACCAGCATTACTATATATAATTGGTAATATATTGTAATATAGATAATATATTGCTAGTGAAAGTAATTTTTTTGAAGGAATACTTCCATTTTCATGGACCATGACAGCAGAATATCCTGATGGCTTGTATGCCTGAAGTTAATTTTGCTGTTTTCTTTCCCAATAGGTAGATGATCTGCAGGTCCAACGCAAGGCGATAAGTGAACTCATCAAAGTGATGAATGACCTGTCCCCGAGATCTAACCTAAGAAAGCGGAAGAGGAGTCAGGGTCAGTTTCGAGGCCGGAGAGCACTGAACTAATGGTCATCCTGCCTGCAATATTTGAATTTTTAAATCTAAATCTATTTATTAATATTTAATATTTTACATTATTTATATGGGGAATATATTTTTAGACTCATCAATCAAAGTATTTATAATAGCAACTTTTATGTAATGAAAATGGGTATCTATTATATATGTATTATTTATAATTCCTGTGTTGTGTGACTATTTCACTTGACCTTTGTTTTTCTGGCTAACTAGGCAAGAGTATGTGATTATAAGGCTTTATCTCAGGGGCCAACTAGCTAGCCGACCTACAAAGACCCTGTGGGTTGTGCATTTATTTCCCTTGATGATACAATGAACACTTACAAATGAAATGATGCCCTCTAGTCACTGCCTGTTGGAGAACATGTCTGCATTGTGACCGCTGCTTTAATGGCACATCAGACAGCACTTGAATGTTTCAGGTGATGTGACTTGTCCCCAGATAAAGCATAGTATCTCATCTCATGCCTGGCGCGTCAGAAAATTGTTGACAACTGTGACTGCACCCAAATGGAAAGTAATTTATTTGTTTAGTTTACCAATATTTAATAAATATGAATAAAGTATAATTTCATAACTATTTATGCTGTGTCAGACTTTTTCCAAGTGAGGACCAGGGTAAATAAACTACATATTAATGAATTAATAGGAGGAAACTCATATTGAGCTGTGGAAATCTTAGTTGGATCAAGCCCCATTAAATATAGTATTTCTCTCCATTGGCAATTTGTTGGCTTCTGCTGCTCCATTTTAGCAGCTCTCTAGCTTTCCAAAATATAGATTTAATTACATCACCATTTACTCCAGAGCTTCTACTGTGGAAAGTAGTTCAAATTGTTAAGCTTGCCACACAAAGCTTCATTTCTACCTCCTCCCTCAATTCTGCACTACGTCCTTCATCTTGGTGTCCCCATCTCCTCCATCCACCTTGGGAAATCCACTGGGAATGGAATGGTGCATGTGAGCTCCAGGGAGAGAGGCATGGACTGGAATCTTGGTCCCGCCATTACAAATAGTATGACCTTTAATGAATTACTTATGTTCTCTAAGCCTCAGTTTCCTCATCTGATAAAAAAGAATAATTGTGCCTTCCTCATAATAATGTGGTGAGAGTTCATTCTTTCACTCAAGAAACATTTATTGGAGCATCTACTAGGTGCCTGGTGCTGTTCTAGGCACTTGAGATACTTTTGTGAACAAAATAGACAATGATCCTTGCTCTTGGGGAATTTAAAATTTAGCAAGGGGAAGATAGATAATAAACAAAATACAAAAGATGTTAGTAAATTACATGGTGTGTTAGAAGGTGATAGGTGCTAGGGGAAAAAACGTAAAGCAGGGTGGAGGAATTGGGAAGACCATAAGTAGGGTAGAGTGGGTGGCCTAGAGATGCAGATGGAGTGATTATAGGTGGCTTAATTGAAGAGGTGACATTCGAGGAAGCACTTCTAAGGGAGGAAGCCGTTTGGATTCCAGGCAAGGGAACATCCTTGCAGTGGCTCTAAAGTGGAGACTTGCCTTGAATAGAAAAGAACAGCCAGCAGACCAGTGTGGTTGGAGGAAATGAGTCAAGAATAACTAATTTTTCAGCTGGGTGAATAAAAAGATGAAGTCATCATCAACTGAGATGAGGAAACTGGAGTGAGCAGGTTTTGGGTGGAAAATCAGAAGTTCAATTTTGAATGTTAAGTTTAAGGAGGCCATTAGACTTCAAAGTGGAGATGCTAAGTGTGTAATTGGATAGATTAGTCTAGAGTTGAGGGAGAAGTCTGGATGGTTGACATAAATTTGGGAATTGAGGCATATAGAAGATATTTAAAGACCTAATACCAGTTGAGCTCATGAAGATCATGAGTTTACATAGTGAAGAGGAGAGCAAAGGATTGAGTCTTCAGGCCTGCCATCAGTAAGTGGCTAGGGAGAGACCAACAAAGGAGACTGAAAAGAAATGGCCAGTGATATAAGAGAAGATCCTGAAAAATGAGATATCCTGAAAGCCAAGTGAAGAAATGTTTCAGGAATAAACTATGTCAAATGCAGATAAGTCTAGTCAGGGGAGAATTGAGAACTGACCACTGGATTTAGCAATGTGGAGGCCATTGGTGACCTCGGACAAGAGCAGTTCTGATGTAGGGTGAGGGTGAAAGCCTGGTTGGAATGGGATTAAGAGACATTGGAGACAATAAACACAGACAATTCTTATCAGAAATTCTCTTCAAAAAAAGAAAAAAGAAAGGGGTAGCTGTCAGGATAGGAGATCAAAAGAAGATTTAAATTTTTTTGGTTGTTGCTTTTAAGATGGGAGAAGAAACAGCATGTGTACATTTTGACGGAAATGACATAAGAGAAAAACAATAGATGATATAGAGGCTAGAGGGGAGAGCTGCAGAGTGGTTCCGTGCGTAAGAAAGAGAGGTGAGCTGAGGACACAGGAGGAATTGGCTTTAAACAGGTGCGCGGAAAGCTTGTCTTTGTTACCAGATAGAAAGGTAGATTATGTGGGTTCTGATGTTGCTAGTTGGGTCAATGTGGTGGTGACAACTTTTGGAAATTTTAACTGGTTATTTCAAGTTTTCTCAGTGAAATAAGAAGCTGAGAGTGAGGGTTAGAGAGGAAGTGTTGGAAGCTTGGGAGGAGCAGAAGGATGAATGGACCAGAAGAGAGCAATGGAGATTGCCAGGCAGCTTTAAGGGTCCATTTGAGTTCTGAGGTCATAAAGTTAAGGGTCATCAGTTGGTGTAGTTGATGTGTTTGTCACCATCCATATAGAGCTGTGGGTGAAGATATAGAGTAGGCAGAGAGTTCATTTAGCAGACTTTGATTTGGCCAGGCAGGTAGGACAGACGGATAGAGGACAAGAAAGTCATGAGAATACACAAGCATGTACTTACCATGGTTAGTGAATTGGTGATGAACTCTAAGAAGGTTAAGGAGGGGAAAGAGTATATCAAGGTTGCTGAAGGAGAGTGAAGAAGCGATTACATGAAAGATTATCTGCCCCTCCTCTGGGTTCAAAAGATGAGAGAGAAAACAGCCCCTATTTGAGGGAGATGTAGGAGAAGCAGTGTGCTTAGGGGAAAATCAGTTTATCTTTTGAGTATGAGGAAGTTGAGGATATGATGGATTTGGTTAGTGCGGAACTGTGAATTCCAGACCCAGTGAGTAGGGGTAGCAGAGGAGTTCATAAAAGGGAATGACATAAGGATGTGCTGTGTGTACGGGACTTCTCATGATCGCTGATGTACAAGGATATGGGCTGTAACGAGATTTGTTCCGCTGGCTTCAGGGCATATAGTGGTGGCAAGGTTGTGAGTGACAAGGATAGAGAGGGTTAGGTGTCTGGGGCTTTCTTCCCAACTATTTCACTTAACGCTTCCACAATAATAGGGTTAAGTGAAATAGTTCATGTAAAGAGATCAGTTTAGTCCTTGACTATAATCAGTGGTCATTGTTTTGATTATTGGGTAGCTAAGTAGCAGTGGGTGAGACTTGATTCCACAATTTTTGAATCTTTGATAAGGCAAGATTGAAAAGACATTGGGCTGATCTTGGCAAAACTGAAAGTGATAGGAGCTGCTGCTCTCTCCACCCTTGTTAACATTTGAGGTTGATTGGCGCACACTTTAAGACATCTACAGATGGAGGGCTACTGTGAGATTATCTTATCTGGACCACAGAACCAGACCATACCTCTGTGGAAGGGATTGGAAATTCCCACTGCCAATTGTCTTAAGAGGTGATTCATCACGAAATGGGAAATGAAGCCCCAGGAGGGGGGCCTTAGTCTAGGGCTGCGTGAACCAGGTTGGTGTTAGTTTGGCCCAGGCTCTGAGACATGGAGAGATATAGACTGTATTGGGTGATGTGATGGAAGCTGAGAACAAGACAAGGAGAAGACCCTTTAAGAGAACTTGAGTGGAGATTGGCCTATGCAGTAGTTATAAATTATTCTCTATATTGCATGTTCCTTCCCTTATGTACACATCTGGTGTCAGAAGTATTGTGGGGCTAAGGGAAGGAAAGGCCTGTGCTTTAGACTAACAAGGCCTGGGGACAGCAATGCTTCCTCTCTGAATGCCAGCAAGGGGCACTTGTCTCCCTAGACTATGAGCAGCAGGGGAAGCAGCCGGAGCCTGGAGTGGGAGAACTTTCTTGTACAAAGTCCCACCCTTAGAGACTCGCAGAAATAGTTGGTACACTCTTGCTGGCAGAGTGATTTTGGGGATTAGGCAATCAGAACTTGAGCAGAAAGGGTTAATGCACATTCCTCCTCTTTCTCTTCCTCTTCTCTTCACTCTTCCCATCCTGAACAGTAATCCGAAAGCACTTAGGAGCATCAGGGTAAGGTACGCTTCCAGTTGCCAACTATGGGGAGTCTAATTCCAAGCAAGGTGAGAAGGGTGTACAGGCAGAGGAAAATCTGGTGTGGAAGGTTGTCAGAGCTGGAGCAGAATGAGGAGAATGTCCAAGAAGGGGTGGGGGAGTATGTTAGTTTTCTATTGCTGTTGTAATAAATGACCACAAATTTAGTCACTTAAAACGATACACATTTATTATTTTACAGTTTTGGAGGTCACATGTCCAAAATCAGTCTCAGTGGGCTAAAGTCAGGGTATCAGCAGAGCTACAGTCCTTCTGGAGACTTCAGGGGAAAATCTTTTTCCTTGACTTTTCCAGCTTCTAGAGGCCACCTGCATTCCTAAACTAGTGGCCTTCTCTTCCTTCTCCAAAGCCAGCAGCATAGCATCTTCCAATCTCTCTGTCTCTGACACTCCTGCCTCCCTCAAGATTGTTAACTTAATCAAATCTGAAAAGTTCCTTTTGCCATATAAAGTAACATTCATGAATTCCGGGAATTAAGATATGAACATCTTTGGGGGGCTCATTATTCAACCAACCACAGGAAGGCAGCCTGACGTGGGGAGTCAGAATGCTGCATAGTGAGGAGGGTATCCATGTGGAAGGACGGCATGGACTGGGGTGTCAGGGTCCAAGCAAGAGGAAGAGGACATCCATGTGGTGGGGAAGCCCAGCATGGGGAGTCAGAGTGAAATAAGAATGGCGTCTGCACAGGCAAAGGTATATTAGTGTAGATGGGAGATTGGTTACTTACAGGCAGGTTGAATAAAAGGTAAATATATTAAAGATAATGGCAATCAAGTTCTCACTGTTGGAGAAGAATTATAGTTTGGAAAGGGAGAAAATTAGAATAAACTCTATGATATTGAATAGGAATTGGGTGTATCGGTACAAACCTATGCTCTTCGACATATATAGATATGTACAGAAACAAGTATAGATAAATGTATCTGTTTGCGTGTATCTTCCTTAACTTTGTCCACTGAGAGCGCCTGGGAGCAGCGACAGCCCAATTATAATGAGGACACTTAGTGCCCAGATCTTGACTTCTAAATACCAAATTCTGCTAAAAGGAACCAGGGCTCCTTGGAGAAATGGCTAATTCCAGGACTGGGACTGAGAAAGAATAAGAAGTGCCTTACTGTGCTAGAAAGTGAGATACACTCAGAGAACGATGGAGACATGGGAAAGTCACAGAAACTAGTCTGAAGG